AGTCCTCCCCCGAGGACTGTGATCAACTTGGTAGACTCAGTCCAGGGAGGTCCAGTCCCTTCCTCCCAGACTAAGCCAAGTGTCCCTGCATAAGTTCCTGGTTTCAAACAGCCAACTCATGGAATGAGCACAGGACTTGGTTTAAGGACTTTCTTTACCCTTTTTCTTTTCTATCCCAAGCCTACTTGTATTTTTAAACACACTATGACCTGTTCAGAAGTTCTTTTTGTCTGAATCTGTCCTTTGTGCATCTGTAACCTTTTTTTTTTTTTTTTTGTCTGCATGAGCAAAAAAACTGCTGTATAACTTAGATCATGGCATGCTGATACTGCCTCTCCCCCCAACCCCCAACCCCACCTCAGTCCCTGAGAGGCTAGTCTCATGATGGAGGTACGTTTATTGCCAGTTCTGGGAGCCATGTTTACCGCCCAAACTATAGGGAGTTTCTGGGTCCATGCCACCCAGAGTAGTGTGCTGCTGGCTGCTCATAAATTCCATATAAGCGTTTGGTAGTAGGACCTCTTAAAAGAGTCATCCATTTTTGCCACTAACACCAAGCCAGGAAGCTGTCTCTTAAAGGAGTTGTGCCTCTGTTCACTGCCAGCAAGCAGAGCCCACAAGAGAAAAGACAGCTACCAAGAAGCCACACTTGACTCTGTTCTTGTGTGTCTAGAATCCTTTTTTAAGGCTCGTCAGGTTTTATGTGGAAATTTCAGCCCCACATTGGGTACCATATGCAGGTAGAAGTTTCCCTGTCTGGGCAGCTGTTTCCACATTATCACACAGAGGCTTATATTAATTATAAATGATTGGCCAATAGCTCAGGCTTGTTACTAACTAGCTCTTACACTTAAATTAACCCATATTTCCATTTATGCTTTGCCACATAGCTCATCCTCCCCCCTGCCCACTAAGACTATTTCTGGTTTTTCTCTTTTCCTGTTTCTGTAGTTCAGTTTTTTCCAGAAGGCTCAACCTGGAACCACAGTCTGTGGCTTTTCAGAATGGTTTATTTCATTTAGGTTAAGGATCTTCTGTGTCTTTTCCTGATTTGATGCTCACTTCCTTTTTTCCTTTTTTGTGTGTTTGTTTTGTTTGTTTGTTTTTTTGAGACAGGGTTTCTCTGTATTCCTGGCTGTCCTGGAACTTGCTCTGTAGATCAGGCTGTAGACTCATAGAGATCCACTTGCCTCTGCCCCTCTGCCTCTGTCTCCTGAGTGCTGGAATTAAAGATGTGTGCTACCACTGCCCAGCCAGTTCACTTCCTTTTAACACTGAATGGAAGCTTGACTTTATTTTTAAAGATTTATTTACTTATGTTTGTGTGTGTGTGTGTGTGTGTGTGTGTGTGTGTGTGTGTGTGTGTTTACCTGTGGGCAGATACCAGAAATCAACCTTGGTTCTCTGGACATAATCAACCTTGGTTTTTTGAGAGAGGGTATCTCACTGGAACCTGGGCTGTCTCTGCCTCCCCAGCACTGGAACTAATTACAAGAGAATGCTGCCACATTGAGCTGTTTAATGTGGGTCCTAGGGACGGGACTTAGGTCCTTGTGCTTATATAGCAGACACTTTATTGATTAGGCTGTACATCCAGCTTGACCCTGGACTTTAAATAACCCTTTGTCCCATTGTTTGAAGGGTTATTTCAAACAATTAATTAAAAAAAGATTTATTTTATGAGGATATGTGTTCTTCCTGCATGTATGTGTGTATACCACATAGATGCCTGGTATCTGTGGAATTCCAGAAGAGGGCATAGAATTCCCTGGCCCTGAAGTGAAGTATGGTTGTGAGTCACCATGTAGGTGCTGGGAACCAACAAAAACAGCATATGCTCTTAACTGCTGAGCCATCTCTTCAGCCCCTTGTGTTTGTTTTTTAAGGCAGACTCTCAATGTGTAGCCCAGGCTGGCCTCGAATGTATGATCGTTCTGTCTCAGCCTCTCAAGGGCTGAGATTAGAGTTCTGTGCCATCAGGAGTGGCTACTGTCATTAACTTAAGCAAGTATCTGTTGTTAAAATGGAGAGTTTGAACCTAGATGCCCGTCAACTGAAGAATGGATGAAGAAAATGTGGTACATATACACAATGGAGTACTACTCAGCAGAGAAAAACAATGAAAGCATGAAATTTGCAGGGAAATGGATGGAACTAGAAAAAATCATCCTGAGTGAGGTAACCCAAACCCAGAAAGACAAACATGGTATGTACTCACTCATAAGTGGATTCTAGATATAAAATAAAAAACAATCAGACTACAACCCACAGAACATGGAGGCTATTATATAGCATGGGGGACCCTAGGACGACTGTGGCTTATAATAAATTTTTGTTTTACTCAATTACTGAGCAAGCCTCAATCAAACATTTCACTATTAAGATAAGAATACATACTGTATCAATCTGATAATAGAAAAATAAATAAATTAATTAATTTTAAAAAATAAAAAAGAAAAGAAAAATTTTAACTATTAAAAAACAAACAAAAACAAATATATTTTACTAAAGTAAAAAAAGGGGAAAATAGGGACTCATCATTCCTCTCCACATTCTATTCTTTCCTTTGTTTTATATATTTTAAATTTTTATCAGTGGATTCTGCTGGAATATCTGATGCAGATAAGCACTGGAGGGCTCCTGCTGCAAATCACCCTCTGGAGCGATGGAAGGATCTTTCTACTGGCACTTGGAGGACCTGATCTAATGTTGGTGTGGGCCCGGGGTTCTGTTTATGTCTTTCCTCAGGACAATGAGGTTCCTCTTTGGATTCCTGAGCACAGAACGTGCCCTGTGGCTGCTGCTGAAGCCCAACATGAC